GCTTGGAAGTTTCCCGAATTGTTTTTCGAATCAGTCGGTTTCGTGTTGGGAAAATTGCAGGGTTTTCTGCAATTTCTGGAAAACTTTCCATACTGGTTATGATACCAGCACCAGTCGGGGTTATCTGTCTCTCGTGGTCTAGAGACAGATCGCTTACGAGAAATGCTTCTACGTGGTGTGCGCGATCTCTTACGGTCGGTACGAAGACTAAGATAACGCGTGAGTGTGTGACATAAGTCGGTTATGTCATTCTGAGTCGTGTGAGGCTTTTCTTTGACTGAAAATACCTCGGTAGTAGAAGGTTTCGTAATTTCTAGAATGCGGTCGGCAGATACAGCTAGTTCGTCTAAGGCGTTGTTCTGGAACGAGACCAGAACTGCTTGCACCTGTTGGGGAAGTTTTGACAAGAAGAGTTGTTTGAATAGACCTTCGTCGAAAGTTCTTGGGCCTATAACCTCTCTCATCCGTTGCAACATGTCCGTCGCAGAACCGTGTTGCAGGTCGATATTGTTGAAGAGTTGATCTAACCTTTGTCGATCGGTTAGGTCTCCTCGTTTAAGAATCGAGCGTTTTAAGATTTCGTAAGGATCGGAAACATCACTAGTAAACATACTAGGTGTTACGTACCTGTTGAATTCCCGCGGCAGTGCCTTGACTACTGCGAGGAATTGTGCACGTGTGTCGATCACGCCGTGCTCGGAAAAGTCGGCTTCTGCGTAGCAAAACCAGGCTTCGATGTTGTCGGGCCAGAAAGGCATCAGTTGAAACGAAGGTGGGGACAAGGTCTTAAGCTTGAGTACTTTAGGTGTCTGTTCAGTCATGATGAAATATGAAGTACGATAATGAACGAGGGGAAAATATATATATATATCCAAGAAAAACACGAAAAAAAATCACAATGTTTAAAAAAAATAAAAAATAAGGCAATGATATATAAAAATCCCAAAAAGGAACAGACTCACAGTTGCAATAAGGTGTACCAGATCACGACGGTCTCACCAATGATGATGTCACAGGTATTCAGTGTTTGACAACGCTTCTACCAGTAACACCTTCTAATGTATTTCGTTCCCACCAAGAGAAATCAAAAGACAGAGTCGAGGAGATCGGAAGAGTATATTTGGCGATGACCAATATATCGGGATTCTCTGATCTAATCTGGCTAGCGATTGTGGTTGATGTTGAGCACGGCGTTACTACACGTGATCTGGTGCGGATGCCTGACCGAGCGCCTTCAGCTAGATGAGTCCACTAAAACATATGGTCAGCATCCAATGTCGAAAACTTACAGAGCTATTTATTTTAGGGATTTATTTACCGCTACACCATGATAGGGTCGTAAAAACTCCTTCAGCGTGGACGACATAACTTTAATATTGTTAGTGTGCGCTCTTGTTATCGGGTGCACAAAATGGCTGTTGTGGACAGCAAACTGATGCACATATCCAAGTAAATCCAGTTATCGGTAGGCTCTCCAACCATCCATATATATTGTGGTACCCAGTTGCACGTATTCCCATATAATTGGTATTAATGTCGTTGCTTTTCGGTTTCTGACCTTTTGGAAGTGTCCCTTTTGGGTTGATCTGTCGTAAATTCCAAGTACCTGTGAGGTATATTTATGAAAATGCTGCTTATCAAGTGTTCCTTAATACCACGTCCTCTGTTAATTTTCCGCTTCTTAGTAGTCTCATCTGTTGTAGCCACTCCGTTGTCACGTCTTCCTTAAAATCCGCTGTAAGCCGATCGTATGTGAGCATCAGGTGCTGAGATTGGCGCCACGACCTTGAAATCCCTCGAACGCTTCTGACTGGCTCGTCCATAAACTATAGGCTCGCCACTCTAATTATCACATTGGCGTCGCGATGGAACAGTTGGACATAAAATCAGATTTTGATGCTTTTGAGGATTACTTGGTTCGAAACCTGGGCTTTGACTAAGGAAGATTTTGAAAATGTTAATATTTTGGCACATTTTCTCACATTCATTGGAAAAGAAGCGTACAGCTTACTAAAAACTCTGGCTTAACCAGAAAAGCCTATTTCGCTTCCTTATGCAACTCTCAAGGAACTACTACGAAACTATGTTATGTATACGAATTTCGATTGCAGTAAAGGACAATTTCGTAAAATGATTCATGGGGATATCGAAAATTCCACTACATTACGTCATCCCAATCTAATGCATACTCAGGTTTATGCAGTTAATCCATTGATGAGTTTTGATGCAATTCATAAAGATAGTCACAAGTTAAGTCAACGTTTGTCCTGTGGCAAGTCTTACCCATGCAATTCATGTGCACTCCGTAATTCTAAATGCTTTAAATGTGGTGATATCGGATATATTCAGTCAAGTTGTAATACTACTGTTCATCTTGCTGCAACTAATATTAAGTCTTGTAATTCTGATTCTATTACGTTGAGTATTTATAATAACCATCTATCTTTATCAACGATTTCAAAAGACAGTGTAGAGTCACATAGCAGTTCAAAGTTAAATGAAACTCAGAATCCTTGTGAGGCAACAGTTTCTAATCAATCAACCTATCAGATTTCTCATTTTATGGCACCATGTATGGTTTTTCCTAATGATGCACATATTTATGATAAAATTTCTTACAAATCTGAATAAAAATGTTTAATGAACCTAATCATGGTCGAAAATCTGATGTAGTTTTGATAGATGCTGATTTTTCTATTGATCTTTTGCTCTGCGATGACATTCTTAATAAATTTGAGGAGACTATTTCAGAAGAATCAAATCTTGATGTCCCATCAAATATTATTTGTCCTCATAATGCATTTGTTGCTTGTGGGAAACTTGTACAATACGAAGCACAATTACTAAATGAGCTCGAGTTTGATTACAATCTGGATGATTTCATATCAACTGCTGTTTATCCTTATCACGAAGTCACTTCTAATGTTTACTCTAATCAATGTGAGAAATAACTTTTAAATGAAGCCACATCATCCATAAACTAAGGATATGAAGACTCAACATTATTTCGTGGAGGGGGATAGTGTTGGAAAATCCATGGTGTGAATCCAAAATATCAATGACTTAAGTACACGCAATCGGCAAGTTGATCAAATACAATTCCAGGAACAAGGTGAGTCTGTTCCGATATCGGTTGTTAATTCCAATACTAATGAGTACATTTTAGATAATACAGAGTCCTTATCCAACACACTGTCCGACAAACACAGGATGAACTTGAGATGTACAATCGATTACAGACATTTAGACTCCAATTTAAGCTGTGGCGGATGTGGTGTTTGAATGAACTAATGATTCCTTTGTTGAGTGCTTGATTTCGAATTCCAAATACAGTACATTCGTTCGTGCTTGTCTAGTACTTCTTGATTCAATTGCGTTATTCCTGGGATTCTCAGTCCGTACTATAATTCAAATACTCCTTATTATCATAGTAACACATGCCGATACGCTAAACTACTTCATTCCCTATCACCAATTCAAGCGCTGACTCAGGCCTGTCCTAAAGTATTGTATGTGTAATTCATGTCGAATTCCAACCCAGTCGCACCACCTAGAATGCCTTAGAGTAATCATTGGCATTGTTTCATATTGATAACTTCTGCACAAAGTCGAGATTCGCAGAGATTGCCCCTCTTTAAATCAACCATGAAACATAACCACATGTAAGCACTGCTTTGTCTTCCATACTAATAAACAACGTTCGTTGCCATACAGCATACGTTGCAATGTTTATATGTCATTTTAGAGAAATCTGACATTTGATGTGAACTTCATTCTTGGCTTATACATTCAAAATGCAATCGAAACCCGATTTGGCCATTACTTTTTATTTAACTGCCTTTCTGCTCATTAGCGTTGGTGAGACTCAGGTATTGACGTAGACCAGTCCAGAAGCGATGTTTTGCAACTAAAGACAGAGAACCCCAAGTCAAACACGGTACTGTTAGTTTATAGCGTAGTCAGTCGGCCGCTATGAGAAATAGGATTTTCTCCAGGCCGGTATGTGAATATAATGGCTAGGAGTTTGTTTGCAAAGTAGGAAGATCGAAAACTTTGCATCTTAAAGGACATCTATTACTAGGCTGGGCAAAAATGGAAAACGTAGTTAGTCCTGTTGAACACCACTTAAAGTTGACTATTTGATTACTGTCCACCGCTCTTCATTTCAATCAACGGTAATCAAATGGAGAGCATGTTCTAGGTTGATGCACCTCCCTGTTATACTTTTGAAGTCACTTTTGCAACTCCCATTATCTTATTCTTACAGTACACTCCTACTAACGGCGTAAGGCAAAGTGCAGTGTGACCAACGCTTATAAGCGTGTGAGATGTGGACGTCCGTGACATAACAATGATGTGTCTACGTTAAGAGACATTGTGCAAGGGTACACTTAGGACCAGTCAACAGTAAGTTACCATCAAAACATCTACTCAAAGCTCTTCACCAGTAGATACGATACAATGAAAATTCCAACCACAGGATTGGTTTCAGTCTAATTCCATACTATGTTGGAAAAAAACCCATCTGTGAACCAACTTGGTCTACTAACATAATGGTCCATATACCGACACTTGGTTATGCAAGTCGACAAAGATTTCGTCAGTTTGACTGCAGATGTACAGTAAGATTTGGAGTAGGATTTATGTTACTAGCTACTCCGCTACGATTATACTGGGTTCAGATTTACTATCACGGATCTTGGCCCGGACGTTCGATTACTACTAGTGTATTCTCCTAAGCGTAACTGTGTTTAGGGGACTATCCATCGTATCTATATGTCATCAAAAGATTGACTATACAAGTTGCAAGCTTTAAACGAGGAATTCCTCTATTAATAGATTGAGGGATACAAACCCCAGCAATCAGTAAACTCACTGAAGACAAAGTATATCTATAATGAGTATAATGGAGTCTTTCGTAGAACACTCGAGTGGAAGACTACGATCATAAAAAATGGACTAAAGATTCAAATAGTAAAGAACCACAAAATGGACGAAATTTACGTTTGAAAAACATATTCATTTAAAATACAAAAACTGTACAGTGCAGCAATATCTGTCCAAAGAAATAAATGGCTTGTCAAGGAGCTTTGCCGCTGGAGTTCGTAGCTCCCAAGGCGGCGGCAATGTTGGCAGCTGCTGCTGCGGCAGCCGAAGAGGATCAGGTTTGGTAGTTGGTTGTTTATCCGAAGTAACAGGGGGTCTTGGTGGGGAAGGTTGCTCTTTGCGACGCGATGAACGACGATCGCTTTGTCTAGAAGAGCGAACTGATCGTTCATGATCCCGACGTTCACTTCTATGCCTACTACGATCTCTTTCACGGCTTCGGTCTCGACCAGGTCGATCGCGATCACTTCGTCGCCCGCTGCCTCGATGTGATCCGACGCCAGATGGATTTGGTGAGGGAGCTTCAGTAGACGCGTGTTCCTCTGCACCAACAACCCCTCCAGAGTAACGGTCTTCGCGTGAACGGCGAGAATGATGTGATGTTCCTCTACGGTGTTCATATTCTCTTCCAGATCTTGATGAATCACGATGGCTTTAAGTAAATCATAGAAACAGCAAAGTATAAATATATATCAAACAGTGAACAAGGAATTGCCAAACAGAACATCAGTAATCCACAAAGGGATAATAATGTATTGTAAATAAGTGCAGCTATAGGCTCATGAATTTCACCAAAAATAATCCACTAACAACGACAATGCATGGTGAATTCATTTGTACCAATCACTGCCTAGATGTGCATAAATTAGACAGGTACGAGGTCTAAGAGGAGAACTAGATTAGACAGTTATGAACAAATATCTCTTTTGAAAAGAAATATCTTACGCCTGCAAAACACAAGTGGCTTGGTTAGAAGTGCGAAAGCATATGATACCAATGATTAAAATTGACAACTTTTTAGAGAGGGATTGTAGGAAAACATTGTAATATTTATCAGATGATTTGTAAATCGCTCAATTTGTTGTGGATTAGTGTCTTGACGACCAGTTAAGTGTCATATGAAAACGAAGAGATATACTTACCGACGGTGCCGAGAATGATAACGTTCTCTGCTACTTGAACGACTACGACGACGTGATCGATAGCCTTCTCTGCAAGCGAAACAAGAAAGATTACTAAAAACCCTTAAGTTTGAATCACAATTCTTAAGATGAAAACTTCAGATCAAACTACATCCCCTAGCGTTATACAACACAAACTACGCTGGGTTGTTACAATGCAGTGCCTTGACAAAGCAAACGAGTGAAAACATTTTTTACACTGAATAGTAGATGAATAATCATTGATTAATCACAAACATACATTTTACCAGATGCACAAAAAACTTTGTTTTTATTGGCCATTTGATAGAGAGGTTAATGGAAATAAGTTCAAAGTGTAATTACTCTAACATTAAACAAATACTTTTGATCCAGCAAAGTATGTAGACCTAAACTACCATACTGAACGACAATAAAATAGAGGGAATCAAAAGAAATACAAAAAATTGAGCTAACAAAACCTCGATAAACAGTACTGAAGTGTATATGAAATAAGAATGAAGATTGAATAATTACTATTATGGTCTAATTCCAATTATCCATGTAACTTTACCAACAATTAATTCTCACTACCTTGAGTTTGATTATTTATTGAATTTTTACTTGAACACACAAACGTTGGTACGAGGAGGTTTAGTAACCCGTAGATCTGACCCTAGGTAGGTCGTTTGCTAACTGCTACCGAAACATAAATTCCACCAAACCTCGTATACAATTAAGAACTTAAATCGCGTTAGTGAATAACGGAATTAAATAAGTCAAATATGAGAATGGAACTCGAAAACGTATACTTCGTTCAAACATTTATACAGGTAGATGATCAAAAAACGAAATGATGCGCGGTGGAGGCGTGCGAGTCAACTCTATTAACCAAACATGACTCAATATTTATAGTCAAACAAAAATAAGTTACAGACATGTGATAAGTAATATGAGAAATGCGTACACATACACTTACATAAAAACAGTCAAGGTTGATAAACGAATTATCATGGTCAAAATGTGACTCAAGAAGAATGAATAAATTAGCCTGTTCGGAGGCTAGAATAAGCTGTGTGGGCTTGACATAGCAACCGACACTACAAGGGAACCAAATACATATGCACCGTACAATAACAATGATATTGAGAAGAGTTAGAGTGGAGGATGAGTATAATAATAAGAAGAGCAACAACGAACGCCGAAGTCGGTGTTTAAAGATGGTGACACCAACTGAGTTATCGTCACAATGGTTGAACACATGTTCTCGAATATCCACATTACTAACGTGATGTTGTCACTGAATGATAGCAATTTTTCGAAGACAAAGATGATCAAAGACAAATAGTCGTCTAACATCCTCAACTCGGAAAGGCCAGGTTTCACAAGCACAGAGCAAAACTGCTCTCACCAACGCGCTGTAAATCCGACCTTGTACAGCCAGACTAACATCACGAAGGCGCCAAAAAGTGGTCCATATTGGCATAAGCCGCTCTGGTTCTCACTATACGTGCATTGGTCTCATCACCCACGCCACCACCAGCACTTATGCCACTACCTAGATACACGAACTTCTCGACTACTTCTATCTGTTCACCAACCAGGTGAGTACAGGATTAGAATCCTGTCATTCTTGTAGAAGTACTTTGCACATCGAAGGTGCAAAGCAAATACCGTACCTACGGACACTGACTACCAACTGATTACGTGAGGATTGCATGGCTTGAGCATTATCGCACAGTAAGACAATATCATCCGCATACTCAAGGTCGAGAAGTCTTTCTCCAGGCAACAGATCCACACCACCACTACTTACATCCATCAGGGCTGTTTCCAGGACGTCATCAATGGCAAAGTTGAAGAGGAATGGCGAGATTGGGCGACCCTGTCTAACCCCACTGCTCGAATGGAACAATGGAGAGAGGTGGTTGTATGCCCTCACTCTGCCCGAGGTGTTTGTATATAGGGCTTTTCGGATGTTAATAAACTTCTCAGGCACACCCTTCTTCAATAGACAATCCCAGAGAACGGTTATGTCCAGCGAATTGAAGGCAACCCTGATGTCAAGAAACACTACGATTGTTGGCCTTTGATAAGTATGACGATGTTCTAACATTTGTCGGAGGGTGAAGATATGATCAATACATCCTCGACCATAACGAAAATCAGTCTGCTCCTCGCGAGCCAACCTTTCTCGAATTTTGAACAATCTACAAAGTATGACGGAAGCCAATAATTTGGACGCGATCTAGAGTAGATTCATCCCTCGACGACTTTAGCTGAAACGACGTGAAAATTTTTAAAGATAGGGACAACTAACAACTCATTCGATGAATTTGGAACACACTAGTACTAGAACGTTTGCAAACAACTCAGTTCCTTAACCTGAAGGTCATCACTGACCTTAAAAAGGGTCTGGTCATTTGTGGTTTCTTAGGAGTTGGAGTGCCTTAGCTTTCTGTCAAATTGAAACCACTTTGGGGGGCTCTAGAAGTCTGAAAGTGTAGTGAATTGTGTTATATATGACACAATCAAACCACAACATGGTAGATTTGTTTTTGAGACACTTTGTATGACTTGATATTACCCAGCTACTTGAGTGATCCATAACTACGATGAACCGAACAAATACCCTAGATGTAACAAGGCAATCGGATTAAGTCGTTATGGTGTGTTAGATAGTTCAATGAGAGGATATCGGACAACAGAAGTCACTGAATCCCAGAAACACCAAGGATGTGTTGTTGGTATTTGTTATGACTATCAGTTAATGAAGTTACTTCACCTCCTTGGACCCAAATTTATGCTGGTTATACGCCACAAATATATTATTTGTATTCGGTGCTCATGTATCAAAAGCGAAATACCATAACATTCGAATTATAAGCCACTTGATCACAAAATATTAGTGATAACTAGTAATATTCAGAAAATCGAGATATATTATGCATTGAAAATAAGATACTATATATAATCTTCACTGTAGTAGATAGGTAAGGGAATATATCCTATCTACCGATTTCTATTGTGATAAGTAATGAATAGTGGTTAAAGACACCTGGAAATTCTAATTCATCATTAGTCAATATTGAGTGCATATAAATGGCTGACTGATTGTCAACATTACCACAAATATCTAAGTTATTTTGTTAGCACACTTGTTAACAGTGATGCATAAAGAAAAGAAGTACAGGTACGATTTCGAGATTAACTTAAACACCATTAAACAATCTATTACACTTAAAAGATGAACCGTGAAGATTTCCACCAACATAAGTCGGAGTTTCAAGACAAACAACACGAACGTCCAAAACTTCAACTAAATGATGCATACTTTATCTTATTGTTATTAACTAGGTAGTGAAGTGTGACTTTTTACTGTAAACTGATATTTTTATCATATATATATTCGAAAAACATGTATTGGTTATCTTGAAGCATGGTTTTTTACTGAAAAAGCCATCACTGATAATTAAATCGTAGCCTAAAATCTTTTTTATCTAATACCTATTTACATTTATGGTAAACACCATTATTCATCACACTAGAAAACTACATTTTGAGAGGGAAGTAACACAAAAATATGACTTCGACTTACAGAATATGTCTGGTATAAGGTAAGAAATGCAAACAACAGTATTACTCATATCAAGAAATTTATACTGAAGAAAAAGAAAACAGGAAGGTTCTTCGCTATTATACTTCAATAACCAACGAACAGATCTTATGTAGAGACTAACTAATTACTGTTGAGATTAAAAGCAATATATTTATCCGTAACGCGTTCTAAATTGCAAATAATAAATTATGCAAGTTTGATTTTATCCCTCATTTAATGTACACTTATAATCCGTTGCTATAAAACAACACTGTAAATATCAGCAGTTAAAAACTGAAAAAAACGAGAAAAAACTACCTTTCGTAATAACTAATTTCGTCTGGATGGTAATGACGCCGTCCGCGTCGAGACATAGGATCTTCATTAGAGCTACAAATAAAAATAAAACCTATCTGTAATGAAACCATCCAGAGAAAAAGAAAAGCTAAGGAGAAATTAGAACGAAGATAACTTGACATTAATTTGTGAAGTTTTACAGCTCAATTTGTACTATGTTACCTTGATTTCATTACCAATAACAGTAAATAACAGGGTCTAGTGATGTAGACGTTCAAATACTTGTAATAATGAGACAACTGATTGATAAAGTAGTAGAATTAAATGTTTGTATGACTAAATAAACATATTTTGCAAAGTAAAACGTGTCCTGAACTTTAACAAATGGATACCAGAATACAGAAATAACTGTCAACAAAATATATCTTAAATAAACTGTCATGTACATGAAGAATAATGAGCTAAAATAGTATATTTGCCCCCAAATGCCCAGGTACGGCCGAGAGTGGGGAGAGTATGCTCTCCCTCTCCAAATGCTCTCACATGGCCACGCTTATATAGCCTCTGTCACGGAAGTCCTACTCATTGACTTCTCGCACCACGGGTGTTGTTTACGAAAATGAGAGGACGAAAAGCGAATGTCAACGCTTTAACCGGGTTAGTGGACATGGAGAGTCCACCTAGGGGAGTTGGAAAACCCTGATTCCAAACCAATGGTGCACATAGGCTCCAGTAGCCTGAAGGAACAAATGGCGTATGAACCAATCGTTGGTCACCGACTACCATGGGACTGAATCTCCTTACGTCGCTCCACTGCCTTGTGGATCAGACCTTCAGGTCGAAGGCTCCGGATGTGGTCCCCTAAGAAAACCACCTGCTTCGGTTTGGGCACCTGGGCAGTATCACAGCCCTCAGACATATCAAATGAGATCTGTGTGGCGCATATGTATTTGGTGCCTCCTTGTAACAATATCTATGCGTTAAATAAATAAAATAAAATAAATAAAGACAATGCACAACTAATCAGAGAAAACTTGAGCCACAGAAACCACAGTTCTGAATAACGTACCGTGTATTAAGTTGCCCATTCTGATTTCAGAAGTTACCTTACGCTGAAGAACATCGTACAGTTGTGAAATACACTGATAAATACATTTAACATGTGACTATTAACGGGTAATAACTTCTGACTACATCTTTTATAAATCGACAGTTACATTCCATACTATTATAAAGCGCACTGAGTAAACTAAACAATGATATGAAAATCATTTCAGTTACAAAAGGGGAAGCATTCTGAGTGTCGAGTAAAAAATTAACTACATAGGACGGTGAAACAGTAACTGTCAATAAAGATGTTACACTTAATAGAGACACTTCATCATATTTTTGTAAAACTTCCAGTTATCACAGCGACAAAAAAATGAAAGCAATATTAATCACGAGAAAATTTATAGCAATGAATAAAGCTATCATTACTACCATTATTATGAAAAATAGTAAGTGGGTTGATCGAATTGTATTGAGCATTAATAATCGGTTACTTACTACATTGAACCTGGGCTACGATCTCCATGATCAATTATACCACTAATTTGACCAGTAGTAGGATCAATAATAGCATCACCAGATGCAATCAGACTAGATAATGCCATATTTCCAGTAGGCCATCCGGTTAGATTGTTCACAACAGGAGGAGGAACTGCAAGGTTAGGAAATAAAGCAGCGGCTGCAGCAGCAGCAGCGGGATTTGTAGCGTTTAAGACTTGTGAATTGTTTCCAGGTGTTAATGTTCCAAAACCTGGAGGAGGTATGTTAAAAACACCAGTACCAGTTGTATTTCCATTCGTTTGTTGAGTTCCACCTAAATAGCCAGGTGGTGGTTGGTTGAATTGACTGAGTAAGTTTGAAGAATTATTTGCGGTTCCATTTAAGAGACGATTTGATACATCAGATGGGGAATTTCCGGATTTAGAGTTGGAAATAGAATTTAAATATCGCATGTTTAATCCAGGACCACTCAGATTTATTACATTGATACTAGCTTGTTTAGAACCATCAAATGAACGGGTATTGGAAGAAACTGTGCCAGAACGAATCCGCTGTAACAAATTGGCACCCCCACTACTTAAAACAGGCTTCAGTGTTGTGTTTGCATATTCCTGTCTCAAGATTTTCTGTTTTTCACAATACTGGATCCACGTTTCTTCAGTAAATCCATAATTAAAGTAGTCTGTTATATCGGCTCCGGGTCGCTTCCATGGTTTTTCTTCATCTCCTAATGTGGAAAGATTGTACTCGACAGTTGGGATTCCATTAATATTTCCTGGATCATCCAATTCTATACCTTGACGAGCGACTTTCTGATCTAAAATAGTGAACGAAAAAGCCTAATAAGCAATTTACTATGGATACAAAATGTGGCTAGAAAAACTTTAAGGTGGACAATTGTTATAGCCCAAAGCCGCCAATCAGAAGCAGCGAATTATTGATCAGACCAAACGCGTAAAACACGTGTGAGCAGCTTAGAGTCCTGATTGGTCCTGCTTTCCGCCTAGCCCAGCGAGTTAAGTCCAGAACACCAGTCTCAGCCTCTGCAATATGAATCCTTATATTTCAAACATACTGAGTTTATATACCAATCAAACAGACCACAACGCAGCATAAAATAGAAAATAACATTTGTACAAAATTTGGCCAAATGTGGGAGGCTATGACTAATAGACAGGGCATAATTCCAGAATGGTAAAACGTATAATAATGGTTCATATGTCAAAATAAAGTTTATAATAAGAGGAATATGAATAGTTTAGTTATTTAACAATTATACGAGGAAAATATACGTTTAGTATTGGTCCATAAAAGGATTCAAAGTTACCATTCATTGTTTATCGGGACCTAATAATAATCAAATTTAGTCTCTACAGAACGGATCACATGCGTGGATTGTTAATACGATACGAAAATGAGTGAATTTCGTTTATTACTTCAGCTACTCAGAATAATACAAGTATGTTTATCGAACTTCCGTAAGTCGGATGTTTCTTTTCCTACGTTTTTATGGAAAAGAATAAGTAAATTCATAGTATACACTGAGAGAATGGAGAAACTAACTCTGACGACTAAGTTACGATTCCATTGACAAGTTACTTTGATATGATAACATTCGCGGGGTGTGCTTTCCTGTGAAGTCCAAAAACATGTTTGTTATGTAAAAGAGCGCCACTAAATTAATTTTCCTCACAAGAATAACAAGTCCAGGTAAAGAAATAAGCAACGGGGTGATGCGATTTGATCACGTCTAAAATCCAGATATGAGCTAGATATTTTGGAGCCTGTTATTGATCAAGTAATTAAAAGAGATGATAAGAGATCATGTGGTCTACTGCTCAGTCAGTCAAACACAACACAGAACTTGTTGAGTGTAAATATCAGTTCCAGTTGCTACAACCTATAATGACAGTGAGGTGGAATTGTTAGGGAGAATTCCAATGTAGCAGGGCTAGTTAACAGTATTAGTGATAACAAAAAGCATTAGATATCGAAGATGCGATGCAAAGACACAAAGTAGTGAAAAAAGATTGTGAAGAATCCAGGAACTTATGACCTGGGAGAATACAAAAAATGTATGGGCCAGTATTTTTGCGAACGACTTCCAGGTCTTTAACCACTGGTTACAATAATCACGCCAACCCCAACCAGGTAGTCTACACTTGGTAACATGGCTCAGTCCGATTGTCAATGAGCTCATAAACTGGTGCTGTTTTGGTCTGACCACCCCCAATTTTCTCCCAATTTATCCCTACATCAGAAAACATCGTTCATTGAGGTAGGTAGTTACTAGGCAGTCAGTCAGTCAGTCAGTCAGTAACAACGTAGAACTTCGTACGTACGTACATCAGTTCGAGTTGCCACACCACATTAGCACAGAGATGCAGTTGTCGATTCAAATCCCGTAGTGGTAGAGGTAGCAAGAGTATAAGCAGTAATCGGGAAGATTAGGGTTTGGAGATGTTATTTAAAGAGTATAATCCAGTGAAATAAATTTGGAAAGAGGAAAAAAGGGACATGAAGGATTCAGAAGATTAGAATTTGGGAGAACACAGAGAGTGGATGCACCTGCGCCATTGCAAACGATTTTGAGCCATGTCATTCAGGGTCTCTAACCATCGGTTGCTATCATCTCGCGGTCCCCAACCAGGTAGTCTACACCTACCAACATGACTCAGTCCACTTGTCAGTGACTTCATGGACTTGTGCCATGTTTTGGTTTGGCCGCCCCTAGCTTTCTTCCAACCTACTCCTATACCACTGAACATAGCACGTCGAGGCAGTCGGTCGTTGGGCATACGTAACACGTGTCCCAGCCATCTCAACTGATGAAGTTTCACTACTTCATCAATTGATTTGCCATCCTTACCTAGTACCCGTTTCCTAACAACTGTGTTACTTACTCGATGGTCCCATGATATACGAGCAATATTTCGAAGACACCTATGATCAAATACTAGTAACCTACGAATATCCTCTACTCTTACCGGCCATGTTTCACTGCCATAAAGTAGGACGGAACGAACTGCTGCGCAGTAAACCCGTCCTTTGGTTGATAGACGGATATCTCGCCTACGCCATAAATGACGCAAGTTGGCAAAAGCTAGTCGAGCCTTCTGTATCCGTGCTGAGATTTCGTCACACACTAAACCACAAGGGCTGATGAGACTTCCAAGATAAGTGAAGCGGTCGACACACTCAACTACTTCACTCCCTATCACTAGTTCGGGTGTCGATGTAACCCAATCCTGAAGCAACATTTTGCATTTCGAGGGAGAGAATCGCATCCCGAACATGCTTGCATTGTTGCTTAGAGTGGTCAGAAGACTCTGCATTTTGTCAGCGTCTTCACCAAATAAAACTATGTCATCAGCATATTCTAAGTCAACAAGTGAACCTCCCGGTAGAAGTTCAACCCCTGGAAATTTAGATGAGGAGAGTGTTATCTCTAAAAGTACGTCGACCACAAAGTTGAACAAGAATGGGGAGAGTGGACAGCCCTGACGAACACCACTTGAGGTAATCAATTCTGATGACAGTTCGCCATAAGCTCTCACTCTACCAGTTGTGTTCGAGTAGAGAGCCTTTATAAGGTTAATGTACTTCTTTGGTACTCCTTTCAGTGACAAACACTGCCATAGAACCTCACGATCAACAGAGTCGAATGCCGCCTTAAGGTCGAGAAATACTACCATTGTGGGGCGTCTGAATGTGTGTCTGTGTTCTAGAACCTGACGTAGTGTGAATATCTGATCTATACAACCACGTCCAGGTCGAAAACCGGCCTGGTTTTCTCTAATCTGCTCTTCACGAGCTTTGATTAGGCGTCGAAGTATTATTGAAGCTAATATTTTAGACACTATATTAGTCAAACTGATTCCTCTGTGATTGTCACAAGAGGACTTTTGTCCTTTCTTATAGACTGGCACAATCAGTGATTGAGACCAGTCAGATGGGATTACGTCCAGTTCCCAAATTCTACCTAAGACCTCAGTTAATCTCATTGCTAATACTGGACCACCATCCTTAAAAATCTCAGGAGTAAACCTGTCAGGGCCTGCTGCTCTCCCTCGTTTCAGATTTCCTATGGCTTTTTCAACTTCGTAAAGGGACGGAGGACCTACATTAACTTGCCATTCAGGTTGACTAGAGATCGTGGGAAACCGAAGTGTGGCTGAAGGCCAGTTGAACTGATCCCTAAAGTGTTCTGCCCATCGATCCAATCTCCTGGATTGAGAATGAATAATATGTCCATCTTTCTCTGAGATTGTTTCGCTAACGGTCGGGTTCCTAATTCCGGTTTCCTTAACGAGTCTGAACAATTGTCTGCTATTACCTATTGCCGCTGCCTTTTCCATCTCTCTTGCTTTCGCTACCCACCACTGTTCGCGATCATTGCGTAGACTTCTTGTCAGCTTGCGCTTAAGCTGACTCCGCTCTTCATTATGTTCAGAGCCAGGTGGAATGAGTTTCCGAGCATCTATCAGTGCGATAGATGCTGCTGAGATCCAGTGTTGCTCCCTAACCTTCTGGTTTACCTTACTAGCAGATATCACTGCTGTTTCCACAGCTTTTCGGATATCATTCCATGCTGCATCGGGGTGGGCATCACATACATGGCTGCCTAACTGTTTTCCTAGTTGTTCCTGAAATATACTCTTAGCTTGACTATCATTAAGTAGGCCCTAAGAGGTTTCCTTGCAGCGTCTTTCCTACGTCCAGTAAGACGCAAGCAAATACGCGCTCGCACTAGAGCATGATCTGAATCTAGGCATGTGCTCCAGAATGAGCGACAGTCTTCTATCGAGCCCCTCCATCGGTGGCTGATAGCGATGTGATCTATTTGGGTCCAACGTTGGGACGAATTCGGGGGTCGCCATGTTAAAAGATGTTTTTCCTTATGCTTAAAGTTAGTATTTGCAAGGAACAGGCGGTTATCTGAGCATAGCTGCAACAGACGGTCGCCATTATCTGTTCTTTGAGCCACGACACCATAAGATCCACCTAGGTGTCTTTCCCTATCGCTAAGTTTACCTACTTGAGCATTAAAGTCACCGGCCACTATTACTACATCCGAGCGCTTAGCTTTTCGGAGAAGGTCCGAAAGCTTTCTGTAAAACTCATCTTTTACATCATCTGAGCTGCAGTCAGTGGGAGAATAGGCAGAGACGACGAAGAGGCAACGACGAGTGTCCCTATCTTTCCGGATTCTTACTGTTCCGTTCAGTCGGACAGCGCACAAACGACTGTCTACTGGGATCCACTCTAAGAGAGCTAGTTCTGCCCTAGGACTCAATGCTATACCTACGCCGGCGAGGCCACGGGAAGCAGAATCAGGGCTTCCAGATACACGAAGCGTAAATCGAGTCGGTTCTTTATTTTGGCATGGTGAGGTCAAATGAATGACGCTACTTGGATCCTGTATGCGCGTTTCGGAGACGCAGCACACATCGATGGCGCGAGATTCTAAAGTTTTAGCTAAGGAAGCCTGCTGTCCTATTTGGCAAAGTGTTCGTACGTTAAAAGCTCCTACGTGTAGTTTAGAGCGTGGTTTCAGGAGACCAGGAATGGCGTTCCACGTACTCGAATCGTTTGCCCTAGCGGTGCGAGGTGATAAAGAGACGTGAGGAGGGTTAGTCATGGAGATAAGAGAGGTATTAGGAGGTGTAGGAAGGATTTGAATGTGACCACCTTGGTCTCTTGTGCTGTTACGGGTATGAGGGCTGATGTCACTTCCCGGCTGCCCACACCGTGGAAGGGTATTTCTTGAGGAACCTGAAAAGGAAATTGGATTAGTGTTGGTCTTGACGACCTGGG